TGTTCCCGTCATTTTTGTATAACCTTCAGCAGGTTTTTGCTTGCGTGTGAAATTAGTGATACTGTTTGATAATTCCCACACTCTGTTGGATCACCTTTTTTTGAAACGGGAATAAATACTATTGAGGTCATTAACTTGATGGTAAAGATTGGCTGAACTTTAAAAAGTCCCTGCAACATTTGTTGAAAAGATGATTCTTTCTCCATCTGATACTCTTAGCACTTTGTTTGACATCAGTTGGCCATAAATGAAATAAATGGTTTATTCCCTACTGGCCACACTGATAAATTTTAGCTATGGTTATGATCTATATAGCACTCCACTGATAATTCTTAGGTTTTAATAAAAAGGAAAAGGAAAATTTGTTCTGCTTTAGTTTAGGACCTTTTGGGGGGTTTTCCCTATACTCTTCCCCCCCCCCCTTATTTGTGTTTGTGATATCAATGAAAAGGAGCTTTGGTGGCTCAGTGGTAAAAGAGTTGAGCTGCCAGCGCAAAGGCCCTTAGTTCGAATCCACCAGCTACTCCACTGGAGAAAGATGGGCGATCTCCTCCCGTGGGATTTACTGCCCCTGAAAACCTGCTGGAGGGTCAGCTGTGAATCACTTCAGACTCCACATGACAGCCTAGCAGCGTGACAGTGAAAGTGAGTGACGTTTTCACAAATGAAAGGATCAGTTCCAAAAGGAATAAATCAACTTCCATTTTTCTTTTCTTTGAGAGAAAACTCAGGTCCCGTGCTTTCTGGTAATACGTCACCCAGTGATTTTGTAGTATATTCCCAAGCCCATTCATTCTCCAGACACAACCAAACCGGTTTGGGCTGCGTGGGTTCTAACTTTGCTTCTGAGAGCAGAACCTTGCTGATTTAAAACGGAGGGCTGGCAGGCCTTTCCTCCTCGGGGCCTGTGAATGGGTGTGGGCCTCCAGCCAGCAGCCTGGTGCGTGCTTCCTCCACCGGGGATCCAGGTAGCACCCACTTCTTCCCTCCAGAGCCTTTCACCCCAGCGAAGCTGTTAGCCTCCGCTGCCTGGTCCCCTTCCCTGCCCTTGGCCACCATGGAGCTGCTCTCTACCTCTGGCTTTTCCTGTGTGCATCTTTTCCACAAATGGGATCATAATGGCAGGCTTCTGTGGCTGGCGTCCTTCCCTGGCACGAGTCTCCGTCAGCACTGCATTCCTGTCAGTGGCCAGTTACTGGGCCATTGATTAGCGATACCATATTTTTGTTTATCCCTAAATCAATTGGTTGACATTGGGGTTGTTTTTACTTTTGAATTATCATAATGATGTTGCTCTGAGCATATTCAGGTGCACATTTTTATGGGAACAACTGTTTTCACTTCTTTGGAGATTGGAATTGTTAGGGCATAAGGTAGCTCTGGATTTAGCATTTTTGAGGCGTTGCCAAACTGTGTTCCAGAGTCATGGCACCATTTTACTTTCATACCTACAATATGCAAGGCTCCAGTTTCTCCATCTCCTTGCTAATCCTGTCTGTTACCCTCATGTTTTTGTTCGAGCGTCCCAGTGAATGTGAGGTTGTACCTCATTGTCAGTGGTGCCCTAAGAACATGAGAGTTTTCTGTTTTGAAGGTGTCTGAGTGAACGGCTTTGCTTTTGTTCCTTGGGTTCCTTAAGAAGCCATTGTCCAGGGTCATGAAGATTGACAACTGGGTTTTCTTCTAACTCTTCTATTCAGGGTGTGAGTCATGTTGAGTTCGTTTCTGTATAGGGTGTGATACAGGAGGCCAGCTTTTTCCTTTGGCTTGTGGCTGGCCAGCCGTCCCAGCAACATTTGTTGAAAAGATATCCCCCCACCCCGTTTAATTGTCTTCTCATCCTGTTGAAAATCAGTTGACCATAAATAAATCAGTGTTTTTCTTTATTCTCAGTTTTATTCCATTGATCAAAGATTGATACATTTTAGGTAAAAACTATATAAATTAAGCTTTTGACTTGGAGAAAAATCTCCCCCCACCCTGCTCCCCAGTTCTCCTCAAGCATTTTCTTTTTCACATTTTAAGACTTGATCACATGAAGTCACAGAGACTGCAGATTAGTGCAAACCAGAAGCTAAGTAACTACGTAATTCTTCGAAAACAACTCAGCATTGCCTCCAGATGTTGTTGTTAGACGCCATCAAATAGAGTACGACCCAGAGTGACCCTCTGAACGACGGATATGAACCCTGTCCCATCCTCACACGTCCTGACACACTAGAGCCCATCCTGGCAGTCACAGTGTCAGTCCACCTGGTCGAGGGTCTTCCTCTCCTTCACCAGCCCTCTACCTTTCCGAGTATCACGTCCCTCTCCAGCCTCTCCACAACATACATCTTCATTCTCTTGGCTGTCCATGGGATGCTCTTCTCCAGCACCACAGCTCAGAGGCATCAGTTCTTCTCCTGTCATTCTTACTCCTCGGGACGCGAATCCAGATAGATAGTCCCTGTGAAATGAGGCAGCCAGTAAAACCCTAGGCTCGTCATAGTGCAGCTTTCCCCATGCTAAGCTGCTTTCTCGCTCTCCTTTCTCGCTCTCCTTTCTTCTTACATCCCAGTGACCCCTGACAGATGGTGAAAACACAGTTAGATATGACTTTGTTCCTGCTTTCAGTAACTGTTTATAACTAAAGAAGCCGTAAGATACAGTGTAGAAAGTTGGGAAATACAAGCAAATTGTTAAATGAGAGTTTGGCCTTCTTTCTGCTCAAATCACCATGAGAACTCCTTAGTGCAGAGCCTACAGGAGTTTTTTCCTACGTAAAAATATGCATGTAGACATTTTTTTAACCAGAAATGAGCTAAAGCTCATTCAGAGTTGAATCCCGTCTTGCGGTCATTCGTTTCCATCTTGTCAATTTCTTTAAGTGGTCATCTTGTCTTATTTCCAGGCTCTATTCAGATTTCCCCAGCAATATATTGGGGACCTCCGATTTGTCCAAACCAGTATTCCAGCCGGGACTCTTGGACCTGGAGTTAGAGCTCTTTAAGTATCTCTTCGCTGAGTCTGTCCTCCCTCCTTGTTTGTTTCCACGTGTCCTGTTCAGTAACACATGCTTATAACACCCTCAGGCCAGGTGTCCTGCACAGTGTCCCAGCCTCTGGGTTGTCTCCTTGTTTGCTTCCTTCAAGTAGCATTGGCTGTTTTTATTTGCCTTATTTCCTGTAAATCGGAAGTTGTATCTAAAGGTTTCGTGGATTCGGGGCAACCATTTTTGGGTAGGACGCGCCTGTAGCACATTGGCAGACACCCAGTGTCTGGCTGCCGCCACTGTCTTCATGCTGAGTTCACGCATTGGTGAGAGCCCGGCCAGTCCCCTTACACCCAGCAGCTCGCACATGGACACTCGGCATTGATCTGTGTGTTTAACTGGGGTGATACACCCTGTTCCCCATCAGACAGCCACCTAATAGTTTGGCCGACATTTTAGTGCAATTTAAAGTGTAGATTTCAATCAAAAAAAGTTACTATTCTATTATTCCAAGACATCTTACTTAGGGATGAGTTCAGTATTGATTGATCTGCTGATGCTGTTTTCCCTAAAGGAGAATTTCAGTTCTGAAAGTTTAATGTTGGATTTTTTCAGTCATTCTAAAAAATCTTTGTATTTCAGCCTAGACTTAGAATAACATCAGAAAAGTCTAAATATAAAATAAAGGCCGGCCTCCCTGTGTCCTTCCATCCTGCTCCACCTTCTAGCTGTGTCTGTTCCCACCACAAGGCATAGAAGCTGTTTGCATGGAAGCAAACACCTTGTGTCACATCTAATGGAGTCTCAACTCTCGCTCACCTTTAAGGAGAATAGACCTTTTTCATAAGAGAAAGTAGAGCTCTTTACAGTTGACAATTTCAAATGAGCTTTGTTCTAAAATGAAGAAACTGCGTGGCATAAACTATTCCCTCAATATATTTCACATACTGAAAATAATACTTGTGGACTCCAGCTGTGTGCTCAGTGTGAGCACACTTCAAGCTCAGGCAGCGCTCCTGCCCCTTCCCAGCTGGGTCCAGCCTTTCCCTCTGCCTGAGGCACTGTTGTCAGCCCCTCAGCATCCTCAGAGTCTTGGGATCGGAGCTCCTCTCCCTGAACCCCCTTCCTTCCTCTGTACAGACCCAGCACCAGCAAGGGCTGCTGCGTTTGGCCCTGCAGCCTGTCTGTCTGAATCCAGGGGCGCTGAGACCAGGTGCTTTTAAGCTGAGACCTTTTCCCTAGGAACGCCCCACTGGGGTCAGGAAGACTCCAAGCTGGAATGGCGTGTGAGTTCCTGTACCCAGCATGCTTCACGTGAACTGCCTTGGCCACATCAGGCAGGGTGGGACGTCAGGCGGGCTGTTACCAAGGCCTCGGCCTTCCAGTTTTTGCTTGAACATTCCATGGACCATCAAGAGGACAAACAAGTCTGTCTTGGAGAGGGTGAAACCAAATTGGTCTCTGGAGACAGAGATTCTGAAGCTCCGTCTTCCATCCTTTGGGCGTGTGGCCAGGAGGGACCAGTCCTTGGAGCAGGACCTCGTGCTTGGAAGGGTGAAGGGACAGTGCAGGAGAGCAAGACCCTGTCTGGGATGATGGGAGTAGATATGTTAGAGACAGTGACACAGGCTCAGAATAGGGCAGAGTTTAGAGCAATTGTGCATGGGGTCGCTTTGAGTCGCGAGCAACTTAGCAACACGTGACGACCACATCACCAGTGTCTTAGATTGTGTCCGGGGAAAGAGTTCAGCCTTAAGGGAAAGTTGGCCTCCGTGTGTGTGTGTGTGTGTGTGTGTGTGTGTGTGTGTGTGTGTGTGTGTGTGTGTGTGTGTGTGTGTGTGTGTGTGAGAGAGAGAGAGAGAGAGAGAGAGAGAGAGAATGCGCGCGTGAATGAGAATGCATATTTGTGTGCCTGTGGTGGGGACCCCAGGCGTCCATACGGCTAACTCGGGAGGCGAGTTTTCTCCCGTTTAACCTACAGCAACGGCTCCATTGATAGACCATGTCCCGTTTCCTTTGTCAACAGGAAACCTAAACAAGAGGAACATTTGAGTGAAGAAGCCCTGAAGGTGATCGCCAGCCTCCCTGACTTAACGTTCATGCATGCCAAGGTGTTGATGTTCCCGGCCACGCTGACTCCTTCCTCAAGCTCCCGGGAGAACACGGACTGATCGCAGATGTGAAGGGGGCAACTGCAACTGGCTTTCCGTTCCTCCCTCCTTCCCGACCCCAAAAAGCATATCTGCTTTAATTAAAAACACAGAAAAAATCCAAGTTCAGCTGATTTGTTGGTAAGCCGCACTAGAAAGGTATACATAGTAATGTATATTTATTTACATACTGAAGTCCTAAATTTATATTAGAAAAATGTAAATAATCAGGGGTGAACATTTTTGAAGATTTATTCTTTTTGTGTTGCTGGGGTGTATACATTTATGTCTTTGTGAAATACACTGGTGGTGTCCTTCTTACAAAACTTTTGAAATAAAATAAAAAAAAGAAAATGAAAAAATTCAGACTCTCCACTGTCTGTGAAATCCCCCTCAGTCTCTTCAGGTTACATTGAATGTCCTGTTTCATTTTTCACACCGTACATTGAATTGTTTGCTACCATCAGTAAGTTCCAAAGTCCATGTTTAATTATTTTTTTTCTCTGTGTGTAGTGGGTTTGTTTCAGATCTGGCTTCTGTTAACAGTTTGGGGCTCCTTTTAAATCTTGGGGTCTGGCCTATTTGCTGCTTGGCCTTATTCAAGGCCCCGTCATCAGTTGCTCTTTTGTTTTAGGTAAAGATCACTGTCTTAGCTTGATTGGAAGGATTTTAAAAGGTTGTGTCTGTTTTAAATTCATTTGATTTGGAGGAGGACCAAATAATCTGAATGTTTTACAATGATAATTTCTTTGTTACTGATTTTTGTTACTGTTCTATTGTACCACTATTTTTTGAGGATTTTGCACAGTGTAAAATGACATAATCATAGATTGCTATGGTTTAGGCTGTATATACAGTAAAAACTATGGGTTTTAAATGTTTGGGGAAATTCCTATGGAAAAAAGAGAGACATGTGGAAGGCCCTCTAGCTAAGGTTAACATGCATGCCAAGTCTTTGGAGATTTCAGTGTGTAAATTTCCTTTTAGCTTACACAAAAATAAAATAATTTAAAAGATTTCTAGGCTGGTGTGTTTCTGTTTGGGTGCTAGAGGAAAATGAGTTTGAGTGTGATATTCTCCTAAGTTTTCATATATTTCAGTCTTTAAGAAACTGTAAGGTTTTCACTCCATGAGGCTCAGAAGGAATTGAAATCTGCCCCATAAGACTTGATCAGTACCTCTCAGGTGATGCAGTCTGTAGGGAGTTGAGCTGCTAACGCACAGATGGGGCCTCTCTGCCAGTTCTAATCTCCCCACAACTCCGAAGGAGAAAGACCGTCTCCTCCGTGGGATTTACAGCCTCTGAAAACCAGCTGGAGGGTCAGCTGTGAGCCGGTTCCAAGCCCACAGCAGTGAGCTTGAGTCTGAGCTTGAGTTGCTCATCTGCTTTTAGACATAGACTGCGAGAGCATGTTGTTGTTGTTGTCGTTGTTGGTAGGTGCCACAGAGTAGATTGTGGCTCATGGCAACCTTAGGACAGTAGATCTGAACCTCACCCTGCCCCCTCCATCCTCCATCTCTGTTCAGGTTCACTGTGGTAATCATTGTGTCAGCCCATCCTGGGAAGGGGTCAGTCCATCAGGGAAGGGTCTTCCTCTCTTTCACTAACGCTTTACCTTTCCCAGCACGATGTCTTTCTCCAAGGACTGGTTCCTCCTAAAAATGTGCCCGACAAGAGAGAGAATCTCACCACCTTTTCCTCTGAGCAATACCCTGATTGTACTTTCTTCAAGACTCACTGATTTGTTCATTTGGCAATCTATGGAATATTCAGTACTCTGCTCCAACACCACAATTCAAAGGCATCGACTCTTCTTCTGTCTTCCTTAGTCACTGTCCAATCTTAGAGAAAGCCACAGACAATACCGTGGCTTGGATCCGGCACACCTAAGTCTTGAAACTGACATCCTTGCTCTTTAGAACTTTAGTGAGGTCCGTGACAGCCGATTTCCCCAATGCAACATGTACTTTGATTTCTTGACTGCCGCTACCACAGTGCAGCCTGGGTGCTGCTCTGGTTCCGTACAGATGTTTTTCGTACGTCACGGAAATTCATTATAACCTACTTTCCTCAGAAGATTGGCATCATAGTAATGAAAATGTGGCACCAGCAAATGGTCCTAAGGCATCTGCAGTAGGAGTCGAGTTTCTTCTGCTCCTCCGTCGTTGGCACATTCCCGTGGTGCCAGGTCAGTGTGAGAGCTGCCGAGCTGCCGTTTTTAGAGAATCCCCCCCCCCCCGAATGGTCACAGTCTTCAGGACCCCGTATTGGAGATGTCGACCACCAAGTCGGAACCTACTCAGAGCTAACCCTCCAGCAAGTTTTCCAAGGCAGTCTATTGAACCAAGAGGAGATTGTCCATCCTTCTCCCACAGAGCGGCTGATGGGTCCAAACTTGAGGCCTTTGTGTTGGCTTAGCTCTTCCCCACTAAAGCCACCTTCAGGGCCCAGTAGACCTTCTGTTCTCAGCAGAACGTCATGTGTTAGAACAACTGGACCGTAAATGACCACTACATTACAGGGAGCGCTTGTGGGATATTGTGTAGCAAGTTTCAATGTTAAAGGAGTTTTGTTGTTGTGTGTCATCAAGTCACCTGTGACTCATAGCAACCCTGTGTACAGCAGCCCTAAACCCTGCTCTGTCCTGTGCCATTCTCACTGTCTCCGACACACCTACCCCCATTACCCCAGTCACTGAATCAGTCCATTTCATCGAGGGACTTCCTCTCTCCTGCACTGTCCCTCCAGCCTCCCAAGCATGATGTCCCTCTCCAAGGACTGATCCCACCTTGCAGCATGTCCAACATATGTCAAGACGAAGCGCCAGAATCCTTGCCTCCAAGGAACAGCCTGGCTTCACCCTCTCCAGGACGAACCTGTTTGTTCTCTTTTCAGTCCATGGTATATTCAACACTCTTCTCCAATACTGCAGCGCAAAGGAACATGAGTGGTTCGAATCCCTCAGCAGCTCTGAGGGAGAATAGCAGGCAGCCTCCTCCCGTGCTGTCAACAGCCTGGGAAACCTGCTGGGGGCTCAGCTGTCAGTCAATTCAACTAGAAGCCAATGAATGTGAGTTTTGACAGTTACAACTAAATTGTAATGGCAGTTTTGACCCACCTAAGTTAAGAGCCCACTTAAGAGAACTATGCTAATTGATTTCCCCGAGTGTTACTTGTATTTTTGTTGCTTTTTGAGACTCAGAAGCATCTGCCTTGAAGCAGATTCGGATTTGAATTGCACCACAGAGCACTAGGTGTAAGGAAAGACCTTCAGCTGTAAATGCATCAGGTATTTCTGGTGGCAGCTGCCCACTTGTCAGAGTTGACCATAAGCACCGGGGGGGGGGGGCTGAGGAAGGGGAGAACCCAAGGGAGGGGAGTCCCAAAAGGCCAAATCACACAATGGAGCCCTTGAGCACTCAGCCTGGTGCCTTTGTCATCTGTAAACCAGCTCGCTTATCCCACGGCCTCATCCGCTGACGCTGACAGCTAAATCGAATTAGCCATTCAGAGTTCCCCAGATCAAGCCAGCGTAGGAGTATCAGAAAAGCCCCCCCAAGCTGAGTCGTGTCACTACTATCTTCGTGTGAGTCATGCTTTTATATGGAAGCGTGCTCTTCCCACCATGTGATGAGTGTGGCCTTTATTTAGAACTTGTCATCCTCCCTCTCCTTCACGTTTCTTGAATCAGGATTAGGATTGCGGATGAGTAACGCTGCCCGGAAAACTGCGTCTCATGCACCGAAGCTCATAGTTGGGTCACATCCTCACTTTGCTCTGAGGGCAGAACGAAGCGTACCATCAGCAGGGTGTCCGTGACATTGGCAGTGGTTTCTGGTTTCTTTTTTAATACTGCACAAAATCAGGCTGCGTCTTGCAGTCAGAATAAAGCTGGCTATGCCGTAAACACTGGCAGCTTTCGCCTTCTGCGGACAACAGCAAGAAAGAGATCCAGGGTTTGCCAGGGCCTCCAAAACCTCCCTGAGAACCGTATATTGTTGCTCCCCAACCCTCCACATGTGGCTCCTAACTTAGGGTCCTGCCTTTGAGGGGGAGAAAGGCTCTCTGCCTCTTGTAAGGACACTTCTCTAAAATACAGACACCATCGTAATGTTGGTTCCCATGACTCCCCAGAGCGTGGATGCTATGCTGTATCTAATTGTGAGACCAGTGAGTATCTTTCGCTGCACTTGGTAAGCGATTCTAGAACGAGGAATCTAACTTTGGCATCTGTAAACCAACTCACTTATCCCACAGCCTCATCCGCTGATGCTGACAACTAAATCGAATTAGCCATTCAGAGTTCCCCAGATCAAGCCAGCAAGAAGGTAAGCAAGGAAGAAGGAAAGAAGAGTTGTCAGAGGCGACCAGAACCCTGGGCAGTCCTCAGTTTTCATTTCTCCATCCAGACTCCCAGCCAAACCCACCATGCCCTGGTCAGTGCCGCCTCAGCAGCCCCCCATCAGGCGGCCACGGCTGAGGATCTTTGGAAGGACACCGTCCATCTTTGTCCCTTGAAGCCACTGGGGGACCTGAAGCTTCCGGTGAGTGGCCTGTTAAGTCAGTGTCCCACCCATACAGCTTAGACACCAGGATTCAAACAGTCCCAGGGCCGTCGGATCACGTTCTAACACCACAGACCAGGAGTGTGAACTTCCCGGGCTTTGCAGCCCAGGACTTCCTGGCACCTTAGAAGGACTGATGAGAAATCCCAGGTGGACGTCAGGAGCAGCCTGGTGAGGGATTGGGGGCACAGGGTCGCACGAGGAGTGGGTTCTCATCAAGCTGTGCCGCCAAGCAGCCCTAACTCGGGCCCTTCATCCATAAAGCGAGGGGTTTGATTCTGCTCTTGTTAAGTGCCGTTGAGGACGACTCACCGTGACCTGTGTACCTCATGCCTGGACCTTGCCCTGTCCTGCACCATCCTCCTCATCTCCAACGCGCTCGAGCCCTGTAGAATCTCAGAAATGGGGATAGGAAGGAAGCCTGGAGAATGACGGAGTTTTAGAACGGGAAGATC